AGCGCCGCACTGTCAGAGGGTCAGTACTGAGGGAGCGCTGCAACGTCAGAGGGTCAATACTGAGGGAACGCTGCAACATCAGAGGGTCAGCGCTGAGGGAATGCCGCACTGTCGGAGGTTCAGCACTGAGGGAGCGCTGCAACATTGGAGGGCAAAAGAGAGGTGGAGTATTGGGTTGGATGATCAGCCATGATCATATTGAACGGCAGAGTAGGCTTGAGGGGTTGAATGGCCTGTTCCTGCTCTCTGTGATTTAACCTTACAGTCATTATTACTATTTTACCAATTGATTTAATCAAGTGTTAAATTCCAGTTGTTATGGTGCAACTTGAACCCCTGGCATCCGAGTATTTGCCTGGGGCCACTGTACAACTATCCTAATGATATTCCCACTGTGCTGGTGCCAACCACTGTTCTTCTTCTCCTGGTCCTGTGAGGTTGCTGGTTCAGGGACCTGACTACAAACTAAATGTGCCACCTTGGCTAATAACCAGAGCAGGAGTGAGGGAGCTAACACAGGGTGGAGTTGGAGGAGCACACCTGGCCAGGCAGCATCACAGGAGCAGGAACGCTGACGTTTCGGGTCAGGACCCTTCCTCAGAAATGGAGGAGGGGGAAGGGAGCTCAGAAATAAAGAGAGGAGGGCTGGGGCTGGGGAAGGTAGGTGGAATGGTGATAGGTGAGTGCAGGTAGGCAGTGGTGGGGATTGGTCAGTGAGGTGGGAGGAGTGGATAGGTGGGAGACAAGTGTCAGTGTTCAGTGTCACAATGATGCCACGTGGAAACTGGAGGAGCAGCACCTCATATTCCGCCTTGGGAGCCTACAACACGATGGTTTCAATGTGGACTTTACCAGTTTTGAAATCCCCCCACCCCCATCCCATGACCAACCCTTTCTCTCATCCCCTCCTCAACCTGTCCATCATCTCTCCCACCTATCCACTCCTCCCACCTCATTGACCAATCCCCACCATTGCCTACCTGCACTCACCTATCACCATCCCAGCTACCTTCCCCAGCCCCACCACTCCTCTATTTATTCCGGAGCTCCCTTCCTCCTCCCCCATTTCTGAAGAAGGTCCTGACCCAAAACGTCAGCTTTCCTGCTCCTCTGATGCTGCCTGGCCTGCTGTGTTCCTCCAGATCCACACTGTATTATCTCTGACTCCAGCATCTGCAGTTCTTACTATCTAGGAACGAGGGAGTATTGCATTGTCCTTTCGACGTGATTTAGTAACTGAGTCAGCTGTTTGGGTTGACATAAACATAAACAGATTTTCTGACAAAGAATGGGGTTTCACAGGCAGCTGGAGACCATTCAGCCCATCAAACGGCTGCACCATTCAATACTATCGTGGGTAATCTTGCGCTTCAATGGTACTTTCCCACCCACTCCCTACAATCCTCAGTTCCTGGAGAGACCAACTAATTGTCGATCCTAGCCTTAAATATGTTCAATGCTGGAGTATCCACAACTCTTTGTGGTAGAAAATCCCAAAGATTCACAAGCCTTTCACTGAAGTAATGTCTCCTGAATAATTGAGCCCCTTAAGACAGTGCCCTTATTTTCTAGATACCCTAGCCCTAGGGACAAACATTGTTTCACCTCCAACCCTGTCCAATCCCTTCAGAAACTTGTATCTCTCGATAAACCAACACCCAATTTTCTGAAGTCCAAAGAACTTGAGAACCGTAGAATTCCCTACAGTGTGGAAGGAGGCCTTTCGGCCGATCGTGTCCACACCAACCCTCCAAAGAACATCCACCCAGACCCACACCCCTACTCGTTCCCTGTAACCTTGCATTTCCCATGGCTAAGCCACCTATCCTCCACATCCCTGGACACTATGGGCAATTTACAAAGGCCAAATTTAATTGGCTTCTCATCACAGCCTTAACCCCTCATCACAACAATTGATCTAGTCAACATGTGCTAACCGAATAAAACCTTTCCTTAGACAGAGACCACTACAGTACGGTGTCCCAAGCCATCAGTAGCCACCACAGGCTGAGTATGTATCATTTGAATTCACCCACATCCCTGCGAACTTGCAGCCATGATGTACACTCCATTAACCAGGATACACTCCCGTTTGACCCTGTAAAGCTTTGGTGCATCAGGCAGATGGGAAAGGTACAGTATAAATGCAAACACTGTACATGCATCACTGCAAAATTTAAAGCTGGGGTTTATTTTGGGATTGAGATGATATCACTGCCCTGCAATGCAGTGAATATCTGATCCGAGTCCGACTGTGCCCACCAACATTAACCCACGCAATAAATAGAATGCTGTGTCATTAATAATCTATTAGTGGAGCTCACTGCCTCAAGGGGAAACAGCAAAGAACAAGTGCTTCCCAAACCAGTCTCGGAGGCCAGCAAAATGGTGGCAGAACGAGGGGACAGGAAGTTTATGAACCAAGACTAACCAATTTGTTCAGAAGCTGCTTGAAGACAGTCCCCAACCAACATTTTAAAATATGCATTGGTGCTTGTGTTGTGCACAAATTGACACAGTAGATTTTGCAGGAGAGACTGGACTTCATTGGCTCTAAGTCACATTAGGATATCCTGAGAGGATAGAAACTATGGGATAAACTCCAGTTTGCTCTTCCTTTTCCAGCAAGATTGGCATTAAACATTTTCCTCATACATTATGAATACACTGTTCCTCAAACGGCCAGTGAGTATCAGGATAAACAACTTACATTGATATAGCATCTATAACATCAGAGATTATCACAAATAGTATCATGGAAGTCACCAAAGACAATTTGCCACCTCACTGTAAAGGAGATATTGAGATTGAGTGACCAAATGTTTGGTGGGAGTAATAGATTTTATTTAATGCCTTGAAAGAGAACCATGTCAAGTGGAGAGGTTTCGGGAGGGACAGTGGGCCCCAGGTGGCGTAGCTTTGAATAGTTAAAACTGGGGATGTTCAAGAGGGAGAAAGAGAAGAGCCCACATATTGTGGACTAGATGAGATTACAGAGACAACAAGGTGTAGAGCTGGATGAACACAGCAGGCCAGGCAGCATCATAGGAGCAGGAAGGCTGACATTTCGGGCCTAGACCCTTCATCAGAAAAGCTTTTTGAATGTAGCGGAGGAAGAGGTGGGGTTTAGGGTCAGTGTAGCTGCGGAAGAGGGATTGTTCCACGTAACCTACAAAGAGGCAGGCGTCGCTTGGGCCCATGCGGGTACCCATGGCCACCCCCTTTGTCTGTAGGAAGTGGGAGGAATTGAAAGAGAAGTTGTTGAGGGTGAGGACGAGTTCAGCTAAGCGGATGAGGGCGTCAGAGGAGGGGGACTGGTCGGGCCTGCGGGACAAGAAGAAGTGGAGAGCCTTTAGGCCATCTGTATGGGGAATGCAGGTGTATAGGGACTGGACGTCCATGGTAAAGCTGAGGTGTTGGGGACCGGGGAATTGGAAGTTCTGGATGGGGTGGAGGGCATGGGTGGTGTCACAGACGTAGGTAGGGAGTGCCTGGACCAAGGGGGAGAAAATGGAGTCCAGATAGTTGGAGATAAGTTTGGTGGGGCAGGAGCGGGCGGAGACAATGGGTCGACCAGGGCAGTCAGGTTTGTGGATTTTGGGAAGGAGATAGAAGCGGGCAGTGCAGGGTTGGGGGAACGATGAGGTTGGAGGCTGTGGGTGGGAGGTCACCTGAGGTGATGAGGTTGTGGATGGTTTGGGAGATGATGGTTTGGTGCTCGGGGGTGGGGTCATGATCGAGGGGGCGGTAGGAGGTGGTGTCGGAGAGTTGGCGTCTGGCCTCGGCGATGTAGAGGTCAGTGCGCCATACTACAACTGCGCCTCCCTTGTCCGCGGGTTTTATGGTGAGGTTGAGATTGGAGCGGAGGGAGCAGAGGGCTGCACGTTCTGCAGGGGAAAGGTTGGAGTAGGTGAGAGGGGTGGAGAGGTTGAGGCGATTGATGTCTCGACGGCAGTTGGAGATGAAGAGGTCAAGGGAGGGTAGGAGGCCTTGGGGTGGTGTCCAGGAGGAGGGGGTGTGTTGGAGATGGGAGAAGGGGTCAGTAGAGGGAGGGTTAGGTTCACGGTTGAAGAAATAAGCGTGGAGGCGGAGGCGGCGGAAAAACTGCTCTATGTCCAAACGTGACTGGTATTCGTTGATCTGTGGGTGGAGGGGGACAAAGGTGAGCCCTTCACTGAGGACTGACCGTTCGTCCTCAGTAAGGGGGAGGTCTGGGGGGGGGGGGGGGGGAGGGGGGGGAACCCGGGGGGGGGGGGGGGGGCGAAATGTCAGCCTCTCTGCTCCTGTGATGCTGCTTGGCCTGCTGTGTTCGTCCAGCTCTACACCTTGTTGTCTCGGATTCTCCAGCATCTGCAGTTCCTGCTATCTCTAGGGCTGGGTGCTATTGTCCCCTCTGGAGCTGCTGGCTGTGGAGGCGGTGGGCGGAGGTGTGTCCATGTCGGTGATGGGTGGAGCGGCATCGGTAATGGGCGGAGTAGGGTAGGAGGCGGCATGACGGTAGGCATAACTTCAGTGTCTGTGGTGTTGGTCTCGGAAATGGAGGCGGTGGCATCGGCAGCGATGGCGTTCGCTGTCCTGGAAGTGGGGTACCCGGCGAAGATATAGATACAGACATTGACGTGATACTGACAAGCAGGGACTAGACAGATTTAGGACTCACTTACAAAGAGCCTGGGTGACTTCATTCCACAAAAGAATTTCTGTTCCACTTTCTCAATTCAATACCAACTGTGGTTGTGTACAGTAATCTCATCGCTGAGGGGGCGCCGCACCGTCAGAGGGTCAGCGCTGAGGGGGCGCCGCATTGTTCGAAATTGATCCTGAGGGAAGGTTTCATGGTCAGAATCAGTATGGAGAGCACTGCACTGTTACAGGCAGAATGGTACCATGAGAGCAAGATACTAAGTTAAAATGGCACTGTTGGAGGAGTACAGAGTGATCGCTGCATTGTCATCAGAAGGCCTGTAAATAGGAAACAATGCTTTGTTGGAGAAGCAGTACTGAGGGATCACTGCACTGTCAGAAAGACGCCTTTCCAACAGACGTTAAAACCAGGTAGTTATACAACATCTCATGGCAGTATTTTGAAGGAGGTGGGGAGGCTCTCTGTCATGTCCTTTCCTTAAATCCAACATCCAAAACAGATCTAGTGATAGTAGGAACTGCAGATGCTGGAGAATCCGAGACAACAAGGTGCAGGGCTGGATGAACACAGCAGGCCGAGCAGCATCATAGGAGCAGAGAGGCGATCCTCTGGTCATGATCACACTGTTTGTGGGAGCTTGCTGTGTGCAAATTAGCTGTTGCATGTCCTCCCACAATGACTCCACTTCAAAAAGGACCTCATTAGTTGCTGTCCTGTGGTGACTGAACTGCAGGGTTATAAAAAAATTTGTTCCACAGGGTGAACGGGTCCTCAGTCAGCCTGTGTGTGTTTTTTAATTGAATCTTTCTAGAGCTCCCACTCCCTTCAGCGTTCCTGGTGGTCACAGGAGGTTGCTCGAGCCATCGAGATTCGAAGCCATGGAGATCCAGGAGGAGCCAGAAGCCTCGGTGAACGTGGAGCGCTTCGCGAACAGACCCAGCTTCAACAGGCTGGCCCAGGGCTGGACTGGACCCCCGCTCCCTGAATCCGCAGATCTGTGAGCATCCCCACGACAGGAACCTGAAGGCCACCCCCAGAAAGTCAGTCTTGACAATGGCAGAGGCAGCGAACGAGACTCTTGCGAGTTTACAGCTGAACTCACCCTCCTCTTCACAGTCCTAGAAAGAAGCTTCTCTTTAAATTAATACAACCCCGTGATGCTTAAACAGGACTGAGTGGAAAGCGCTTTACAGTGTAACTTGTTAAAGTAACACGAAGTTGTTAATCATATTACTATACATTAAACAATATACAAGAGACTTTTTCTCCTTTCTTTTTAAATAAAATCTGATAAACATTACTGCTTAACAAAGGGCCATTCAGACACCTGGCCTTGTTGGTACAAATTTCCAAACAAATTTCACCACATCCTGTCAGGATACCTTAGTATTCATGTCTGATGAGTTTAACTTTAAAGGCACCTATTTAATGGACGCCTAACTCAGCAAACTCTGCGCCCACAGCCACTTCAAAAGCATTTACAGATCAGCACCAGGGAGATCTTTCAGAAACGTATGTGGACAAAAGACAGAATTTCTGCTGAACAGATGCCATTTCGTGCCAGTGCATTATTACCAGAACTTGCAATCCCAATTCCCCGCTTGCCCTCTCAACTTCCATTCCCTTCTGAGATAGTAGGAACTGCAGATGCTGGAGAATCCGAGACAACAAGGTGCAGGGCTGGATGAACACAGCAGGCCAAGCAGCATCATGGGAGCAGAGAGGCTGATGTTTCGGGCCTAGACCCTTCATCAGAAATGGGGTAGGGGAAGGGGGTTCTGAAATAAATAGGGAGAGAGGGGGAGGTGGATAGAAGATGGATAGAGGAGAGGATAGGTGGAGAGGAAACAAACAGGTCGAAGAGGCGGGGATGGAGCCAGCAAAGGTGAGTGTAGGTGGGGAGTTAGGAAGGGAATAGGTCAGTCCAGGGAGGACGGACAGGTCAAGGGGGCAGGATGAGGTTGGTCGGTAGGAGATGGAGCTGCGGCTTGAGGTGGGAGGAGTGGATAGGTGGGAGGAAGAACAGGTTAGGGAGGCAGGGACAAGCTGGACTGGTTTTGGGATGCGGTAGGGGGAGGGGAGATTTTGAAACTTTATTTCAAAACCCCCTTCCCCTCCCCCTTTTCTGATGAAGGGTCTAGGCCCGAAACGTCAGCCTCTCTGCTCCTATGATGCTGCTTGGCCTGCTGTGTTCATCCAGCCCTGCACCTTGTTGTCTTCCATTCCCTTCTCCTGTTTCTCAGTCTCCATCATGTTTTTCTTGACGGTGTTACTTTCCAAAGCAGCACATTTAATGTCTTCCTTTCTCGTCAACCGAGGAATTGCACTCAGCACCCCACCAGACCCATGGTTAACCCCCACCATCCACCATGTCTGTCCTGTTTCCCACCCCTCCTCTCCTTTCCAGGATCACAATGGGCTTCTCCTTTCTCCCTTTAAACGTGAACACCAAGGAGGAAATTAAAGCTCTGACCAAGTGAGACACTTAAGTTTTGTTTTGGATGCCAGGGACAAAAGATTAGAAAATAACAACTGTTTACTAAATTCAGAAAATACAAATCATTTGCCAAACAAGTGTCCAGACATACCATCGCTCTCACACTGGAAGTATTGCAGATTTTCAACAACGTTAAAAGACTGCACCAAATACGGTCTCAGTCTACTCGAGAACGTGTTTTTCAACTTTTATTTTCTTAATGCATATATTAACTTAATGATAAAATACTTGGTGTTGGAGCTGTTCTGGGATTCTACCTCTCATCACTTTTCTGTTGTGTCACTCCTACTGCAATCCCAGATCCTCGAGTACCCTGCTGCCAGAATGAGTCCTGGACTGGATCTTTACTCAGTTGGCTGCTCACCAGTCCTCAATTTTCCGTCATGCTTGGTGCACTGAAAGTTATTACTCACACCAATGAGTGATGTAAATACTGGAAAAAGACACCGCTGTGAGTGAGTCAGAGTCATACAGCTGTACAGCCCACCATGCCTGTAATGGTCCTTCAAAGAGCTGTCTTGTATACAGTTGGACCAACAAGACCCCGGCCACCCTACGCCCCCTGTGTATTCCCACATCCCTGCACATTTCTCCCAATCTAGTACTAATTCAATTCTCGATTGAGAGTCACTCTCGAATCAGCTTTCAGGAAGCACGCTCTAAGTTGTACCAACTCGCTCTGTCAAACACTTACCACGAGACAGTTTCTCCTCATTTGCTCTCTCAAACTCTTTCAGGATTCTTAACAATTTCTTTGAATGTCCTCTTAACATTATGTGCTCAAAGGAGAACAACCCATGATTTCTCCAGTAGCTGAAAATCCTCAGCCCCAGTAGCATTCTATGAAATCTCTGCACACTTCACAAGCTCTTGAATCTTCCTAAACTCCAATATTCCAGCTGTGGCTTACCACATACTTTGATAAGGAGTTAGTATGATCCCCTCAGGTTTGGACACCAGGCTTCTGCTCACAAAGCCTGGCTTTTCATATGCCCTTTCGAAAATGCAGCCTTGGTGTCCTCCCATCTTCAGACATTGCTTCTAAGCACATCTATGAAAGGACATAAAACATAGTACAGAAGTAGACCATTCAGCCCATCGAGTCTGCTCCAGCATTCAATGAGATCACGACCATATGATAACCTTCAACAGTATTCAATAAATCAAACTCACAAACGACTTATCAAAAAGATGAACCTTTATGGATTTGAATGGACTGACAGGATCACAGTTCACATTTTGCAATTTTATGAGTGACAGGTTCCTTACCCTCCACCAACCACACTGTGAAGAGCCAGGCATACTGTCCCCCACTGCAGTCTGAAGAGCACTCAAAGGTTTACAAACTTCAAATGCTGCAACAAGCATTTTAGGACATTAAAAGAAAACAGGATTCTACATTTACAAAGCAAAGTTGGGATCAGGTTGTGCAGTGTGACCTTGGGAATGGATAGTCTCACTGCACATTAAACTTCTATTACTCCACTGGGACACTTTATCTGGGGGAGTCACAGAGACCGGGAAAGCAGGGTTCACTGCTATGGGCCTGGGCTGTGCAGTGAAGGATCAGAGGTCACCTTGTCCCAATCAAGCCCCTCAATCCCGCTGTAAAAATACAAATCTGCAAGAACATCCAGACACAATTCTGCACCCCCACCTCTCCACAAAGCCAGATGGTTAATTCATGGTCGCTGCTCACAGCTGGACATTTAGGGATGGGGTTTTGGGGCAGGGCAGGAGTAGGGAACTGCTGAATTTTTATCTTATTGAAGGGATTGATACCTTCAGCAGCTGAGAGCGCGGTCAGGTGGAGGTGGATCAACGGCAGCAGTGCTTCAGAGTTTCTGCAGGCACAGTCACTGGAAACCATTCACAAGAACAGCTCTCGATGATCAATTAATGCAAGGCTCACAACTGCAATAACCTTTCACCTTCAGCACCTTACCAATTCACAAACAGTAGCATAAACATCTTTTAAAGAAGGCAATACGGTATTGAGTTGGATTTTCAGTGCAGTCCTGGATGAAAGTGGGGCTAGCATATAGGACCCAAAATTACCAGCAGGACGTCGAAAAACAAAATTCACTGGCGCCCCTGCGTGCAGTCTCACTGCTTGATGCAGCCATACTCCACATGAATACACGGACTCCAGGAATCAGAGACCAACAAGAGACACACGGGTAGAACATTCCAGCAAGTGTCCTACCACCACACAGATCGCTTTGCTCGACCTGTAGGTTATGGATTGTGGCACACGGTCTAACATACTGCTGTACCTCCCTAATCCAGGGCAAGAGAACACGCCAGACCCACGCCAGGTCACATTTATTCAGTGTACAAACACTTTTAAAGTAAAGCATTCACCTGGACTTGTGTCAATCACAAGCCTAATGGATAACTAATTTTCCAATTTCTGGCTTTTGATGTCTGACTGGACAAAATGCCACAAAAAAAAGAATAAGGACTGAAGCAGAGCCAGGCAATGTAGAGCTTGCACGATACAAGCACCAATGGTTATAATCCCATGTTTACCACTGGCTTTCCACAGCTTCTACTGGTTGTGTAATTCACCACTTCATTCCTGCCAGGTGGACCCTGCAGGCTCTGTGAAGCTCCAGGGAATGAATGCCTTCAGTTTACTCATGTACGCTCACTACAGCTTCCAATCTAACCATCAAGGAAGCGCAGTGTTTCTAGGCTCCGGTTAGACATGATCATTTACACACACACACACAGATAATAATCCAGGCTTATCACCCGAATGCCAAATGCCAGCTTGTTCGTGCTTTGCCTTTTTTTTAAGAAACAATTTTGCTCAAATGACACCTGTCACCCAGCCCATGCTCTACACACCTCTGAGACGGCACAGATCTCAGCAAGCACCAAGCCCTCAAGTTACAGGGTCAGTGTTATTTGGTATTCAAGCTGGGCTGTGGCACTTGGTGAGCTGGTCGTGGTAAAGGGTTTCACGGTCGGAACTGAGCTGTGAGCAAGAGGCCCTGACCAACTCCCCTCAGCCCCAAGCATTTTAACTACAGGTCCCTGCTCCTCACCAGCCCGTAAAGCCCAGAGGTACAGGCCACACTTCAGTGTCTCCATTGCTGCCGTGTTTGTGAGAGTGACGGCGTAGGAACGTACTTCCCCAACTGTGAGGCTCAACGTCCCACAGGGTAAACACTGGAACTTCCGACAGCAGGAGTTGAGATGGGGATGGTACAGGATACACAGTTTATGAGAGGTTTTGAGAGGGGGAGCGAGGAGGGTGGAGGAAGGGGAAGAAAGGCACACAATTTACAATCCAGCCAAGTGTACCTCAGGCCTCTACCTGGACAGGGTACCCAGCAACCCTTTACCTTGGGAGGGCAGGGGGTGAGGTCGAGAACCGTGCTGTTCAACAACATGGGTCAGAAGCAAACCCAACCCTGTCCAATCAGCAAAAGAGGGAACAGAGAGAAGCCACTCATACTGCTCTCTGCTCAGGTGGGACAGCAATAAAACCAAGTC